TCAGTCTTTGCAAAGAAAGGTGAATGTTCTCCCCTTGATTAAACTCCTTGAGATTAGCTTCCATATTGTTGTCTCCCGTCACAGCCGATTCATTAGCTGGATGTCAAAAATGCCTTTATTCATGGTGATCTAACTGAAGAAGTCTACATGAAGCAACCTCCTGGTTATGTTCATTCCGCCTTTCCTAATCACGTTTTCCGCCTACATAAGGCTTTATATGGCCTTAAACAACCTCCTCCCTCCCCTTCCCCCAACCCCCCCTGTGCCTGCTAGCAAAGGTTCGATGTCTTCATCTCCTCCATTGGCTTCACCAACAGTCGATCTGACAGTTCTCTTTTCACATTTCATCGTGAATATGAGACTACATATCTACTCCTCTACGTCGACGATATCATTCTCACAACTTCTAGCCCATTACTCATCACAATAGTTATTACTCATCTCTCATCTGAGTTTGCCATGACGGACTTAGTTTCGTTGTCTTGTTTTCTTAGCATTGTTTCTACTCACTCCTCTGACAGACTGTTTCTCTCACAGCCTGTGTTTTCTAAAGAGATTCTATCTCGAGATGATATGACCTCCTGAATCCGTGTAGCACTCCTACATACACCAAACCAAAAGTTCTCGTCTTCAGCAAAGCCGGTTTCTGATCCGACCCTTAATAGAAGTCTAGCTGGGGCTCTACAATATCTGGCCTTTACTCGTCCGAAAATTGCATATGCAATTCAACAAGTCTGCCTTTTTATGCATGACCCTCGCGAACCACACTTCCTAGCCCTTAAGTGAATCTTGTGTTACCTTCAGGATACCTTTCACCATGGTCTGTTCATACGCCTGTCTCATGTCGGTTGTTTGGTTTCTTATTCTGATGCTGACTGGGCCGGTTGTCCCTTGACACGTCTGTTTATGTCTGGGTTCTGTGTTTATCTTGATGATAATCTTATCTCTTGGTCTTCCAAACGTCAACATGTTGTATCTCAGTCTAGTACCGAAGCTGAGTATCAGGGGGTAGCCAGCATAGTTGCCGAAACTGCTTGGTTCTGTAATCTCATTCTTGAACTTTCATGCCCCTTGACTCACTCTAGGTTGTGTTTTGTGACAATGTGAGTGTCATGTACTTATCTTCTAACCCAGTTCAGTACCAAAGAACCAAACATGTGGAAATAGATTTGCATTTTATCAGGGAACATGTTGCTATTGGTCAAGTTCGTGTGTTGCATGTTCCTTCAGCTCATCAGTTTGCATATATATTTACTAAAGGACTACCTACACAATTATTTCTGAATTTTAGGGACATATTAAGCATTCGAAAACCTCCAGCTCAAACTGAGGGGGAGTGTTAATTGTATTGTTCATTTATATTGATTATGTAGGTTTTATATACATGTATAGTTCAGGGTCCTTTCTGTAATTATGTTATCCTTAGCTTCCCCCCGTCCATCCAAACTTGACGAAGCAAAAGAAATATTCCTTGTCTTTTCTTTCAGTTAAATATATGTCTTCTATTCTCCCATAAGTTTTGAAGACTTCTCTGATAGTGAATCGACTCATAGCCTTGGGGATGTTTGAGACATAAAAGAAAGTTAATGCCTTGTTGGGGTTTAGATCGGATTTCCTCCGCCGGACTTCTGTCCATCCCCTGTTGTTCTCCTTGTGACCGTTGGGCTTCATAGAGAATCCATTTTAGATATAAGTTTTTTCTAATTTATGACAAAACATGTGGAGTAAATTAATAATTAGTATAAGTTCTTAAATAAATCAAAATTATTTCGTTATTAACGAGTGAAAATGCCAAGTATCATCTCATTTCCAAGAAGTAGTTGTACTTTTGCCCATAATTCTCGAATATTGACCCACAAATAATGGACTACGTGGACCCAATTGTGGTCAAATATGAAGGCTGATATTTTGATGACATTTTATTACTCTTTTAAAGGGTTAAATACACATCTTCATCATGTTTTTTTATTTTATTTTTTTTATCATTTTTTATATCAAAATGCACTTTTTGCAACAATATTAACAAAACAAGTTACGAGTTGTAAGTACTTCATCGTTTTAATTGTTTATCTTTAAGCAACTTTTATGACACGTTTTAGTTTTGATTAAAAATTTTATTTTGTTCATTAACAGGAGTTAATGAGAACTTCTACTACAAATTTGTATGTTTTTATCGACTTATGTAAACATGTTTTAATTTGTTATATTTTATACAATAAAATGAAAATTTTACAAAATTATTTATGCATAAAATTGTATTATTATATATTTTGATAAAATACTCATTTTCTTGTATATTTAGATAAAAACATATAGACTAAGTGCATAAATAAATCATTATTCATATTAACAGTAAGATCATATATATATATATATATATATATATATATATATATATATATATATATATATATATATATATAACACAACTTATTATAAATTAATAATTAATAAAATCACTATATAAATTCAGTGTCTATAAAACCTCTCCAATAATTAAAACATTTAGAATTCAGTTGTGTTTTTAATAAAAATATCTATATTATATTAACGATAACTCTTGACATCTGTCAAGATAATCTGATAACATTTATTTTATTTATTTTCCTTATGTTTAGGCTAGTTTATTGGCATGTATATCTTTTTATCCTCTGTATTATATATATGTGAATAATAATCAAAAGTATTCAAGGCAAATATTATAATCCTTATATGGTATCAGTCTAGGTCACGCCTCCTTCTCTTCTTCTCCTCTTCATGGCAGGCGACGACTCTTCTACTTCTAAACCCACCGATGGCACTCTTCCTCTCAATACGATTCTGCACATGCTCACTATCAAACTCTCCTCCACCAATTATATGTTATGGCGGAATCAAGTTCTGCTCCTTCTCTCTTATCAACGCCTATCTGGTTATGTTGATGGTTCGATTCCTCCACCACCAAAAACCATAGTTGTTGCTGAAGTCTCTTCTCCAAATCCTGCTTACACGCCATGGCTGGAAGCAGACCAGCGTGCATTACTTATTCTTCAGTCTTCCTTATCTGAAGAAGCCATGGATGAAATTCTAGGGCTTCAAACCTCCCACGAAATTTGGCGATCTCTTGAACTTGTTTACAGTCATGATTCTCAAGAACGAATGCAAAATCTCAAGGATTCTCTCAGGCAACTCCAAAAAGGATCTTCTACTGTTTCTGAATTTGGTCGCAAGTTCAAAGCTGTCTGCGACCAACTTGCTGCAATTGGTCACCCAGTTGATGAGCAAGATAAAAGTCATTAGTTTCTCTGTGGACTTAGTCCTTCTTTCGAGACTTTCTCCACAGCCCATCGTGCTATCAGGCCTCGACCTTCATTCCGTAACCTTGTATCTCAAGCGGAAGGTCATGAGTTATTCCTTACAGCTATTCACAGATCTTCTCCTCCAGCTGCTGCCTTCACTGCAGATCGCCAACAACCCTTAGTAACTCCTTCTACAGTTCCCTCTCGTGGCAACACTACTACCGGTCGCAGACGTGGTCGTGGTTCCTTTTCTAGTGGTCGTGGTCGTGGTCGACGACCACCACACTGTCAGCTTTGCCATACAAATGGTCATTTTGCCAGATCTTGTCCTCAGTTAAGTACTTTTGCTACTCAAGGATCGAACCAGAATGCTCATTTAGCGCAAGCATTCCAAGCACAATGCCATATCACACGTGATTCACCAGATTGGTACGTTGATTCTGGTGCATCGGCTCATATGACATCCTCTCCTACTAATCTTGAATCATCTTCATCTTATTCGGGCAGTGATCATATTGTCTTTGGTAAAGTAATACTTCTCATATATCTCACATTGGTAAATCTTCACTATCCAAAGATCTTCAGTTAAAAGACGTGCTTGTAGTTCCCCATATTACTAAGAATCTTATATCAATTAGCAAATTGACTAAAGATTCTCCGGTTGATGTTTTGTTTTCTAATCCGTTTTTTGCCATTCAGAATCGGTCAACAAAGGAAATTCTAGCAAGAGGAACATGTGAAAATGGATTATATGTACTCAAGCAAGGACATGGAGCACTTGTAGCAGCTTTAAAATCTTCACGACTATCTGCATCCTTTGAATTATGGCACGCTAGATTAGGACATGTTGCTTTTGACACTATTTCTTTATTAAATAAAGCGGGTTGTTTATCTGTTACATCAGTTTTACCTAAACCTTGTATTTGTCCTTCATTTCAAATTTCAAAAAGCAAACAATTACCTTTTGAGCTTAATTCTAAACGATCCTTACATGTGCTAGATTTGATTCACTGTGATTTATGGGGACCGACACCCGTTCCCTCTACAAACGGTTATTTATATTATTGTATTTTTGTGGATGATTACTCACGATTTACATGGTTTCATCCCTTACGGTTAAAATCTGATTTCTTTAGTGTCCTCACCACATTTCTAGCATTTGTTCAAACACAGTTTTCGTGCAAGCTCAAAAATTTTCAAAGTGATGGTGGAACAGAGTTTGTCAACAATCGAGTCCGCACTCTTTTATTGGAAAATGGCACTCATCATCGTCTTTCGTGTCCTCATACTCCGCAACAAAACGGTCGGGCTGAACGGAAACACAGACATATTACAGAAACGGGTCTCGCCATGCTCTTTAATGCCAGTGCTCCACCATCTCTCTGGGTTGATGCTTTCAGTACAGCAACCTACATTATCAACCGTGTCCCTACAAAAGTTCTAAACCACAAGTCTCCATTTGAAGTTCTCTTTAATGAATCACCAAATTATGCTCTGTTTCGAACTTTTGGATGTCGTGTTTTCCCGTACTTAAGAAATTATTCGGCTCACAAATTAGCACCCCAAAGTATATCCTGTATTTTCATTGGTTATAGCTCTCAATACAAGGGTTACCGTTGTCTTGATCCTTCAACCCAACGTGTTTATACAACTCGTCATGCAACCTTTGATGAGCTCACTTTTCCATTCACGGGTGTTATATCTTCCACTACTTATGAAAATATGGATTTTGAGGAACCTCTTTCAATTATTTTTCCACCGGAACCTCCTTCCAAGGTCACTTCACGAACACAGCCCGCTACCAAGTGCTCTTTATGCCCCGATCACCATCTTACTGATGCTTATCAGCAGCCTCTCACTGTTTCATTTCCTGCTGATCAGCAGCATGCGTCACCCTTGGTTCCAGCAGCAGCCTCTCCAGCTACCCCGATAGCACCCTCGGTTCCCACTGCTCCTTCGTCACCGGCTATCTCGACATTACCGGAAACTTCAGCTCCATCGCCACCCCCTACACCTGACTTTACTTCGGTCTCTACACATCCCGTGGTTACTAGATCACGTGCAAGTATCTTTAAACCAAAACATCAAGTGGACCTTACTTATCTTGATAAAATGCCACTTTTTCAGGCTCTTTTTACCACCAAAGAGCCTCGTGGTTTTAAATCCGCTGCTAAAAATCCTCATTGGCTGTCCGCCATGGAAGAAGAAATGACCGCCTTACGCTCAAATAATACTTGGGTATTAGTTCCTCGTCCTAAGGCTTCAAATGTTGTTGGTTCCAAATGGGTTTTCCGCACAAAGTTCAATCCCGATGGTTCCATACAACGATACAAAGCTCGCTTAGTAGCTCAAGGTTTTTCTCAAATTCCTAGGTTAGACTATTCTCACACCTTCAATCCTGTAGTGAAAGCTTCCACTGTTCGTATTGTTCTATCGTTAGCAATTATGCACAAATGGCCTTTGCATCAACTGGATGTTAACAATGCTTTTCTCAATGGACAACTCACTGATACAGTCTTCATGGAACAACCACTAGGCTTCATTGATCAACGCTTTCCTAACCATGTTTGTCATTTAAAGAAGGCTTTGTACGGTCTAAATCAAGCACCTAGAGCCTGGTTTCAACGACTAAGTTCTTTCCTTATCAGTCTTGGTTTTCTTTGCAGCCGAGCTGACACTTCCCTTTTTGTCTTCAAATGGGACTCTAAAATTCTTTATTTACTAGTCTATGTAGATGACATAATTCTTACCGGCAACCAACCTTCTCTTATCCGCACCTTTATTTCTAAACTCAATGCCGAGTTTTCTATCAAAGATCTTGGAGAGCTCACTTATTTTCTCGGTCTTGAGGTGTCATACATGGAGAACGGTTTATTTCTTACTCAAGCAAAATATGCTTATGACATACTAACTCGTGCTGGGTTGCAAGACTCGGAACCTGCATCTACACCATTGTCGACATCTGCACTTCTTCTTACTCATGGTTCGCCTCTTTCGGACTCCACCACCTATCGTTCTCTAGTGGGTGCTCTTCAATATTTGACCATCACTCGTCCGGATATCTAATATGTTATCAATCAAGTTAGCCAATTTCTTCATGCTCCTACCACTGAACATTTTCAAGCCGTTAAATGCATTTTGCGTTATGTTAAGGGAACCTTATCATATGGTCTGCACTTTACTCGTCCATCCTCATCGTCTTTGATTGGATACTCCGATGCAGATTGGGCACATTGTATAGAAACTCGTCGTTCCACATATGGCTATTCCATATTTCTTGTTGGGAATCTTGTTTCCTGGAGTGCAAAGAAGCAACCTACGATGTCTCGTTCTAGTTGTGAATCTGAATATCAAGCAATGGCCAACACTGCTGCAGAGATTGTTTGGATCACTCATCTCCTGCGTGAATTACATGTCTTGCCCCCTGATCGTCCTACTCTTCTTTGTGACAACCGAAATGCTCTCTTTTTAAGTCAGAATCTTGTTTCTCACAAACGCGCGAAACATATGGATATTGATTATCACTTCATTCGAGAATTGGTTTCTTCCGGTCGCTTATACACACGGTTTGTTCCAACATCATTACAGCTAGCCGACATTTTTACCAAGAGTCTTCCCCGTCCGCTTTTTGAACAGTTTCGCGCCAAGCTACGTATTGGTCCTCCACCACTTCGCTTGAGGGGGGTATTAGCGATAACTCTTGACATCTGTCAAGATAATCTGATAACATTTATTTTATTTATTTTCCTTATGTTTAGGCTAGTTTATTGGCATGTATATCTTTTTATCCTCTGTATTATATATATGTGAATAATAATCAAAAGTACTCAAGGCAAATATTATAATCCTTATATATTACATCGTGTTTTTTTGTGCATTCAAAGTTAATATAACCTTTTCGTATGTATGAAAATTATTAGAGATTTCAAATAGTTATCTATTTAGTGTAAGAGTTGCCATGGTGGTAATATATCACTTAAAATAATTCATTTTCATAAATTATATTTATTTTATATTATAAAAAAATACTTTTCAATATGTGATTAAAAAATAAAATAATGACGTGGTTGCGTGGACCCCACAACCTCCTCTCATGTTATAACTCGGTCTTCTTGTCAAACCAACAAATTGCGATTCCAGAACCGGACAAAAAAAGCCGACGGGTCCCCGCCCTCACGGGTCAGGGAGACCGATACATGCCGCCGCCTCACTCCGCCGCTTCCCCAAAACGTCAACCGCCACCGGCAGCCTCCCCTCTGTACAAACACAACTCATGGTCGCCGGACATACTCCGAGATGAAGAATGGCTCAAGCGGAAGGACAACCACGACCTCCGCCGTCGTCTCCGGAACAAAAGCGTCACCGATGAGGATATCGATGAGCTCAAAGCTTGTATCGAGTTAGGGTTCGGATTTGATGAATTGAATGATCGACTTTCAAGTACTTTACCAGCTTTAGGTCTGTATTACGCCGTCAACAAGCAATATCACGATACGATCTCGAAGTCATCGTCCATGTCGTCATCGTCGTCTTCTTCTTCTTCCGTCTCTTCATTTTCACCTACCGTCTCCGAATCTGATTTATCTCTTCCGTTTGATAATCCTCACGCCATATTCGGTCAAGGTATTTCTCTTCTCTAACTTAATTTCAATTGGATGTCGTTTGCTCGATTTTTGGATTGATTTTGCTTGAATTTCAATTAAAAACTGTTAAACCACACTTATTTCTCCTAGATTTGCTATAATTTCAATCTCAGTCATAAATCCAAAGCTAGTTCAACCAATTCTTCCCCAATTTTGACATGATAACATGATATTCAACCATTAACTTCTTTAGCTGGCGATTTCTTTGGGGGTTTTGCCTTTTTGTTTAATTGAGTTCAAAATTCTAATTCTTGATCGTTGTTTATTCATGAAGTTGATAATCCAGAGACAATGAAGACAAGATTGAGACAATGGGCACAAGTTGTAGCTTGTTCTTTGCGTCAATCATCATCACCATTATCATCATCATCATGAAGCTTAAACCACGAAGAACAATCTGCTTACTTTAAGGGCAAGGTAAGCCATCTATGGCTAAGATTATAAGTAAACCTCGATCTCTAATTGCGCCCTGTACATACCAACACATTGTTGATTGCCTATGAGAAGGGAAAACACTTTTACTTTGAATGTTTGTAAATTGACCTTTTGTATGCTATTCCATGTCTTTTTTTTTTCACTTTTTATCGTATGTAATTTCTCATATTCACATGATATGTGTTTTCATAGCTCAACTTTAATATAAAAGTCTTAATTTATGTTGATTTCTATGTTTTATTCCTTTACTTTTATCTTGTTATATGTTACTTTAAAATGTGGGCATTATGCAATGTATATGTTATGCTTACTTTGAGTCTATGCTACAAGTTTTCAAAAACCTTGATCATGGTTTTGCTAATCTAAAATTTATAAAAGAAATAGACAAAGAGTTGGTTTTGTCCCTTTTTGATTTAAGACCTTAATAGGTAATAATCCATGCATGGAAATTATTTTGTTGCTAAATTTAAACTAAGATATAAGAATTAATAACACAAATACACAATTGTCATATAATGTCGTGTGGGTAAGTGGATGTTAGATAATGTAAGGTTAGAGAGACTGTTTTCAAAGGAAGCTTTTGACATGGAGAGGTGCACGCGATATACATGAATAAACAGGGTCTCGTTAAAAGACCAAAATCACTTTAAGTTAAAATGTCGGAGGCATATTTTTTATTTTTATAATTAAGAGATGCAACTTTATTAAAAATATAACTTAACGTAAAAGCTTATTTTATGACTAAATTTTATAAAAAGCTTGAAGGCTTTAGGAAAAAAGCAAAACAATTACAAAAGGGTTAGCCAACATTGTAACAAGTGAACCCAAACACAAGCGACCCACCCATCCACCAAAACCATGTTTGATCCAACTAAAATACCCAAATACGAAAAAGGAAAGGAAGTCGTTCTACACTCGGTAATAAAATCCAATTGACCAACTTCTATCGAGTTAACTCATACTCTATACAAATACAATTTTTCGAAATTAATTCTAAGGGTAAATTACACCAATTGTCCCAGGTGCACATGCCAGACAAACGTGTTTAGTCTCTATTTTCAAAAATTAACTCGGATCGTCTTTTTTTTTTTGCTTGCTTGCTTAGTCCCTCTGTCACATAAAAACCATTTTGCCCTTATTTATTTATTTTTTGATTTATTTTCTATTTACTTGTTATTTATTAATTATTTATTGATTTGTTTACTATACAAAATAAATATTATTGCATTTAAAAAAGAAATGGGGCAGTACATTTGATCACTTGTCTCTCCCTCCCCTTCTTCTTCTTTAGTATGTCTCATATCAACCGTCACCACTCATAGCGACCGACTTCAATGCTCTGGAAACTCCTTCGAAAACACCTGGACATCTCCGGTTTCATACAGGAGATCAGCTCCAAGACATCGGCCAACTTCAATCTCTATTTTACTCTCGTCTTCAGATTCCCTATTTTGATCTCGTACTTGCATCTCTCCGGTTTCAGATTTGGAAATGGAACCATTTGAGTTACAGGTTTCAGATTTGGAAACTGAAGATGAAAGGTGCAATTTTGGAGTGCTCGGAGATGATGATAGGAGTATGATTAAATGAGAGGAGAGCAAATCAGGTGAGGTGAGGTAAGGGTGGAGGTGAGGGGTGGTGGGAGTGTAAAACAGTGATTGTTTTTAACGACCGCCTGTCAGTAGGGGTGTTCATAACCGGATATCCGAAAATTCGGATATCCGAAATTTCGGATAGTTGATTTTTGGTATCCGATTCCGTATCCGAAATTTCGGATACGGATTCGGATACCAAAACGGATATCCGAAAATTTGTAATTTTGTTCAAATTTGAAAGTTTTTATATTAGAAAAACATATTTTTAAATTAGAAAGGCATATGAAGTAATATGTATTTAATTAAGGGTATTATGAATATGTTCTAGTTACTAACATTCATATTATAAGACATATGTGATTAAAATAACATATAATGTATAAACGAAAATCAAAATTTTCGGATATCGGATATTTGAATTATCCGAAAAATCTGAAAAACACTATCCAATTCCGATTCCGAAAAATCGGATATCCGAAATTTCGGATATCCGAAAATTCGATTATCCGATTTTTCGGATAATTCGGATTCAGAATTATGGCGATCTGGTCCATTGCTTACTCTGTGTCTCTCTTCTCTCAGGTCATCTAGCTCATTACCGGACTACCTACTTTTAGCCCTATCTTCTTTCAGAACACCGTTGACAACCAACCACCATGATTTGTGGAAAAAACAACGAACAACACCGACCATGATTTATGCATATGGCCGAAGTTAGGTTTTCAAGATTTGCTAACAATTTTTGTACCGACAAGGGAGGAGTTTAGAGTTTTAACATCTACATACGAATTCTGGAACTCAAGAACATGAAAACGATTTATGGGGATTTTGTTCAAACGATTTGTGAAATGAATTTTAAAATCGAATTTGTTCTATCTTCAAATTCCGAGTATTTTGGTTTTTAGATTCGGAGATCTAAGTTTGGATTTGTGCAAATGATTTTCAAAAAATAATTCTTGCATCTGGTCGGAGTTGTAGGTTTTTGAAATCGCCCGTGAAGTATGATGAACAGGTTCATTTCATGGTAGTGAAGGAGACAGGGTTAACGGTGGGGGTGGGTGGGCTATATTTCTTTTTTTAAAACTTAAAAATAACAATAATAGCATTAAATTAATTGGAAAAAAATACATAAAGGGTATTATGGTCATTTCAAATCTGACATGGACTAAAATCGCGACAAAATCGCATATCAGGGACGAAGCGTGCAAATTTTAAACAAACGAGGGACGGTGCGAGTTAATTTTTGAAAATAAGGACTAAACGTGCATTTTGACACATGCACGATGGACTATTGATGTAATTTACCCTAATTCTAAACTTGGAAGCCATATAAAAAAAGTTTTAACGTACATACAATATTTATAATATTATCTGAGCCAACTCACCCAAGAGATCATTTGTATAAGCAAATGCTAGATACTAATCTCATCTGGCTAATGCCACAAAAGCCCTCAAATTTTCAAGAAATGGTCGGTTATATCCTAAGTCCATTTTTATGTCCACAAAAACCGCACATTTAAGCAAAAATTGTCATAATTGTCCTCTTTTCCGATTTTACCCTTCTATGGCATTAGGGGATGTTTGGTTACAGATCGACCCATTTGAGGAAGGAAATAAGACCTACTTTTAAGGCGTATTGTGCTTGTGAATGCTGTTAATATTAATTTTCAAAAAAGTTCAGAGCTACATTGGTTTTTTTCGATGAAGACGATGATTAGGGTTGGGGTTGTATTACTGGTTTTGTGTATTGTTCCTGCTATGAGTTAGCTTCCTTCCCAATATATTTTAGCATTACTTGAGTTTGAAAAAGAAATCAAGCATGGCCCAATTGGGTTTGTTCTTAATTCCTGTAATGAAGAGTTAATCGACTTCAATGGCTGCTCATCTTCCTGGAATGGAATCATGTGCAATGATGGTAATGTTGCTGGTGTGGTCCTTCATCATCTGTCTCTATCAGCTGCCATCGATTTGAATGTATTCGCGAATCTCACAAAATTGGTAGCCCTTTCGATATCCAACAACTCCATTATCGGAAAATTCCCAAACAAATTAGGTGAAATGCTTGCATATCTCGACATTTCTGATAATCTCTTCAATTCGTCTCTCCCACCTAATATCAATAAGGTCAATAGTTTAATGAATCTGTCTTTAGCCGGAAACAGCTTCTCAGGGTCCATTCCTGATTGGATTTCAGAACTGAGCAACCTAAAATCTCTTGATTTAAGTCGGAACCTATTCTCTAGACCAATTCCACCATCCATTACAACGCTAAACAACCTTGTTTATCTAAATCTCTCCATGAACACGCTCACAAAGAAAATCCCGAAAGGTTTTCAAGACATGATAGCACTTGAAGGTCTTGATCTCCATGAAAATATGCTCGAAGGTGATTTCGATCATGAATTCCTGCTTTTTACAACTTCCATTCATGTTGATCTTAGTGGGAATCTCTTAACTTCTTCAAATCAAGATGGGAAGTTCTTACCTGGGATTTCTGAAACTGTAAAATACTTGAATCTTAGCTGAAATCGGTTAACTGGATCTTTAGTTTATGGTGGTTTGTTGAAGCTTAGGAGCTTAGGGGGTGTTTGGCAAAAAAACTTATTGCTTATTAGTTTATAACTTATTAGCTTATTAGCTTATAAGTTAATAAGTAAGTGTAGGGTAACTTATGAAAAAATAACTTAATAAAGGTTCCCCACCAGAATAAGTTATTTTCATCCAAACACTTTTTTAACTTATAGTAGTGTGGAACCTAATAAGTTGTTTTAAAAAATCTTAGCCAAACGCCCCCTTAGTTATGTTGGATTTGAGCTACAATAAGATATCCAGATTTGAGCTTAGTCCGTAACCAAAAATCCTCTAATTCCATAGAAGGGTAAAATCGGAAAAGAGGGCAATTATGACAATTTTTGCCCAAATGTGCGGTTTTTATGGGCATCAAAATGGACTTAGGATATAACCGAACATTTCTTGAAAATTTGATGGTTTTTATGGCATTAGCCCATTTTTTTCTGAAAAGTTAGTATTTACCAAACATCTTTTTAACATATTGGTTTTTTGAAAAACTAATAAGTTAATAAACCATTTTAAAAAACACTCCCAAACACCCCCTCTTCTATTAAGAATTTGAATTCCCTCAAAGCGGCTGAATTTCTCACACCCGTTCCCGTTCCCCATCCACATTACACCTCATAGAGCCATTTGATGACATGTCATATTAAGAATCGCATGATAATATTAAAGTTTGTGTCTAATTCAATCTTCCACTTAATCTTAGCCTTTTGCACCAAATCAAGTGCTTCCAATTGCTTAATTTCATCTAATTGCTTTAGATAGTTGAGCCGATAAGTAATACGAAGTATTCCAGAATCAATAATTTTTTTCGATATCACCCAACTTTGAATGAAACTCCCATTTCGTCTTCTTATTTTTTTACACTATTTTTGAGCTTGTGTTTAATCTCAATCTTATTTCCCGAGCCTCCTTCCACTTCCACGGGTTTTGCCCATGCATTCCTCACCACCTCATCAAAAGTCAAAACCATTTAAAGTCATTTACGAGTTAAACAATTTAAAAAGGAAACATTTGGAAATATATCAAGTAAATCTTCTGAAACCAGGAATCTATCAAGTCTATTCATCTTGATCCCATGTTTATTAATCATCGTAGGAGACCGATTCCCCAAAGGAATATCAAATATACAAAATATCATTAGTCAGAACCCAATTCATAAGTTATAGACCATCTTGAATGATTAGTGAAAAGAAAATACGTAATATTGAAATGTCATGTTGCTAAATAAGAAAAAAAAATTGCATTTAAATAGAAACTTCCTAAAATTATTCTAGACGTAAGTAGTGGATACTAAATAAAGTTTAAGTACAATAATTTTCATTTCGAGTTTGCTGAGGCAGTTTCTTTTTCAACAATGTTATATCAAAAAATCACTTGTATCTTCCCAAGGACAGCCGATTTGGACGTATAAGATTTTTGAATTCATCTTCATAGAAAGAAGTATGTTTGACTACGTAATTATTGTTCTTAAATTTACGTTTCGTTCACTTTAAAATAAAAATAGACATATATGAGCATCGTTAATTATTATTTTTAGCTAATTTGGAAAGAAGTCACGTTAACAATAATATAATCACAACGAGTAAACTAGTTATGATGATAAGATTAGTAAAACGACTTTTCAAAGAAGAAATTAATCTAGAAAGATGAACCATACGCTTAGACAACTTTCATGGGTCAATATATGAAGTATGCTGGAAACTTGGAATGCTTGAACATTCTTTTTTTAAAAGTATATTTTTATTACTTAGTCAATAGCCAAATAATAATATATCAAAAAAAAAAAAAAAAAAAAAACCATCGTACTTTTAGTTCTTATACCTTAAAAATTTGTAATTACTTTTCTATAGGTTTCTAAGATAAATTACATATATGCATATTAGGAATAGACGACGATGAATATTAAAAAACCATCTTACTTCTACTTTTCTAAAAAGATGTATTCGGATATAGTAGGGAGTGATTTTATAGGAATTGTGAAACGAGTTTGAAATAATAAAAATTCGGCTTGGATTCTTAAAGGATGTAATCCGTACCTCATTGTGTTGATTCACAATGCGAGTGACTAGCTCTATGTTATGGATTTTTATCCCAATTCTTGATTGGGTTAGTGGCAAAACCAAAATTTTAAGATAGGGGGCTTAAATTAAGCTTATCGAAAACTACGAATAAATTGTTTGAACAACTATTAGATATTTTAATTTTTGAAGTTGATATGGTCTAAGTTTAACATATCTAACTGTCAAATTTCATTATGTTGGTGACTTAGATAGCTTAAGATCATAGGTTGTACTTCGGAATCAAGAATCAAAGAAAATATAATTTACCCCGTTCTTAACTTTGATATCTCATTTTTTGATGTTCAACACTAGTTGACTCTTCAATATAGTTCTTTCAGGTTGTGGAGATGTATTATGTCAACTTTCCTAAAATTATTATCAAGTGGATGCAATTGAGGGTCATGAACGATTTATCTTGGTTTGAAAAAGGAATCGATGATCTCCCCCTCATGATTTAACCTATAATTATAATTTTTTTTACCAATCATATTAAATTTATTAAATTACAAATTAGAAAAATATAAAATGTGTAATAAGAATCAAAATGACCTATTATTGAATGGAAACTACCACGACAATATGACGTTGAATTTAGTAATAGGGATCGGAGGTATTGTTCTATAGTTTTGTCTTGTACTAGCAAATGATGGTGCAATTTTAATAATGATGATGGTAAGGGTAAATTCGTAATAGTATATAGAGATGCTTCATATTTAATGGGGCAAAGGTAACTATATATTCATATATAAATTTTCGTTAATTTCCGATTAAACTCTTTAGGGGTGGCTGTGGGTTTTATAGAGTTTGGATGTGGGTTTCAAATGTGGATAATTAGCATTTAAGTGGCGGATGTATATTACTTCATTTGAAAGAGTTAGAGGGAGAATGGTTGAGTTTGTGGATCGTCGGTTCTTTAAATTGCCATTCATGTAGCTTGAATTACCTACTGGTTGTAAATAGTGCAAAATATAGATATGATAGTTGAAACATGTTATCAAGTTCTAAATTTTAAAGCATTATATTTTGGTGGTTGTACGACTTTAATTAAATTGGTTATGAGTACTATAGGGATATACCTATTTTCAATGTTTAAATCCCCAATTTTGGTGTTATCAATAAGTTGGAGCAAATGCAATACACTTTCTTTTAGGAGGGGAGGTAGGAGATCAAAAAATCCTATGGGTTGCCAAGAATAAAGTCATTGATCAAAAGGATAAATGTGGGTTGGATATTGGTATTCTAATGTCTACTAATTACATATTTTTCTCTAAATAAATATGGAGATGTTTTAACAAACTATATATGTTGTGGGTATCGATTTTCTAGTTGGTAGGGACAAGTGATGAAAGTGCTTAATAATCCAACAAATTTGAATCCTAAAGTGAATTCTTTCGTTGAAAAGATGATTAACATTTCTTAATCTATACTTGGAAGGTGAATTTAATAGTTCTAACTTGGATTGTTTGAGTTTCACGTTTATAAATTTGATAGAATTGTAAAGTGTATATAGTTGGATGATTCAAGTGGAACAGTTAAGATAGAAGGTTGTTCGCGACTATTTCGGAGCTAAAGGGGCTGATGTGTAACTTGTGGCCTATATAATGTCTGATTAGGATGATTTGATTAAACGGAACGTTTCACATTCTAGTTATCACAATTTGAGAGAGTGGTCATCTTCATTACACAAACCCTAAAATTATCTCGTCATTTTTTGTATTGATAGATGTTAGGATTTACTCATATTAGTTTGTCTTTATTTTGTTAGCTTCTATACAGATATCTTGAATCTATGAGAGTGAGAGTAGGTTTAGGACTAATGTTTGGATTTGACTGATTCCTTTAACCCTAAAACTACCTTTTTTTATATAAAAGGTAGTTGTTCTTAATATTTGTTTCATGTTTTACAAGATATTGTGAAAAATGTGTGGAGTAGTAATTAGATACACTTTTGGACTAATGTTTGGATTTGACTGATTCCTTTAACTCAATGGTGCTTCCTTAGAGTGTGTGTTGGAGTAAACAAGAAACCACATGATTTCATTGTATTTTCAGTTTGGAGGATGGGCAGTGTATGGAGACTAAAGCTACACATATGTAGGGATAGAGATGAACAAAAAGATTGTTAGATTTCCTTCGTATCATCGCCTTAAGAGACTCTTCAAATTGGTGGAGTTGGAATTGGATGTTTCTTGTAATTTTCCAATTTGTTCGATTAGATATTATTTGGATAGTATTTTGACTTTGGATAGTGGACCTATTTGTTGAAACAATGTGTGCTTGCCAAAACTAATATCACCGGGTGGACTATGGGAATGGATAAGTGTTGGTTATTGTTGTGTCACCAGGTCATTTTGTGTAATTGGAATTTACATGGGAGCTAAGGAGCTTCATAATTTGTACGCTAATATATGTTTGGGTATGTGTGGAGTGCACGCATGTATATGATCGAATTAGAAGCCGTTTCGACGACAAGTCGGGGGTCCGAGGTTTCCAAAGGGGCAACGCCCCTAGCAGGGTCCAAGGGGCAGAGCCCCTGACTGAGGTCCATTGATTTTGGTCAATTGATCTTGAGGGAGATTATGGTAAAACTGACTAAGATCATCAGTTTTGAGAACCATTGATTTCCTCATTAATTCTGGATTCCCTTTACTTGTTTCCAAAGCAACCCATGATGGTCAACCCTAAAACAAAACCCTACTTATCGTTTTTTTTTATATAAACGACTCTCTTTTTGTGGAGAACGACGACCTTTTAACTCTCATTTTCTTCATACAAACTCAGAATCTTCTAGCAATTTGGCTTACGTTTTCTGTGCCTAGATTCGTAAGCAGGGACGGATCTTCATGGGGGCCAGGAGGAGCTATGGCCCCCCCTGTTTTTTTTTCTCAC